TTTTAGGGTCAAGTTGATCTCCGTTTTTGAAGATTGGGGTAATAATAGCATTTTTTAAAAGTGTGGGAAAACATCCTTTTTTAAATGAAAGATTTATTAAAAATACTATTTTATCTGCAATGTTTTCTTTAACGTTTTTTATTGTATTTGTAGTTAATTTGTCTATTCCACATGATGTGTTATTTTTTAGTTCATTGATTGTATTCAAAACTTCTTGTTTTATTACAGGTCTTAAAAACATAGAATTTATTAAATTGCTTCTATGCATATTAAGAGGGTTATAATCGGAAAGAGGGTCATTTTTAATTGAGTTTGCCATATTTTCACCTACTTTTGAAAAGTATTCAATAAAGATATTGGCAACGTCAGCTGGCTCTGTTGCAGTTATATTATTTAAATCGTCACGCAGTGTAATTTTATTGGTTTTTGTGTGATTTATGTTTTTTATTATTCTCCAGATTTCTTTTGTTTTATTTTGAGATACATTAATCTTGTCCGTATAATATTTTTGTTTTGTTTGTTTTAATATTTTGGTGAGATAATTTCTATATGTTTTATATTGATTTAATAATTGTATTATTTTTTTCTTTTAAATACTTTCGTTTTAAACCATCTCTTTTTTTAATACATTTAATAAGCTCCTCAGTGATCCATGGCTTAATTTTGCTATAGGATTTAATGTTTTGATACGTGGTACAATTTTTTATAAGGAAGTTTAATTTATTTGAAAATATCCTATATGCTTCATCGGAATTTTCTTCTTGATAAAGGTTATTCCAAGTTTCATTTTGCAGCGCCAGATTAAGTTTATTATAGTTTATTTTTTGTATTCTTTTTATTTCATATTTAGGTATTTTTAATTGGGTGGTGTTATTTGAGACGTTAATCATAATGTTATAGTGATCTGTAATATGAGACCTATAAATTATTGGAGTTATTTTATTTTTGTTTTCTAATAGTTTTGTTACTTTAATAAAGGCATGATCAATACAGGATTTTGTTTGTGTCGTTACTCTAGTGCTTCTATTTATATATGAAATAAATCCATGTGAACTTAGACAATTTATATATGTATTTGCGATATTATTTGGTGTTCCAATGTCAATATTTAAATCCCCAATGAACAAATTAAAGTCATTCGCACTATTTGACAAGAGATAGTAATCAAGTTCATTTATAAAAACTGCAGCATCGGTGGAGGGTGCTCTATAGGTTGTAATTATGTTATAGCTTAGGTTATTTAATGAAAATGAGAGTTTTGACAACGTTATTTTGGATTCATTTAACTTAGTATGTATGACATTTGGCTTTATTTTATCACTAATATATAAAACCACTTTTATACCTATGGTCAATATGTAAAATTGTTTAAAATGTTTATTAAATTTTTAAAAATTAATAATAACTTTTTTAAACAAGAGACCTGTGTATGTTACTATATAACTCCTAAACATGGACCGTAGTAAGTTTTTTCGAGATTAAAAACTTTTTTATAACTGCGTTAAAAAGAAACAAAACTATCAGCTCAATGACATAAATTGACACAAACAATTTTTGGTGACATTTGTTTTTTTAAATTCTTCAAAAAAAATTATGATAAGAAAAAACAAACAAAAAATAGTTTTCACCTTAATCCCCGCAAAGTTGGGGTTAAGCTTTTCTTATGAGCCCCAAACGATTCATGCAAAAAAATGACTTTCATTTTTTTTTCAAAAACAGACCTTTTTCCTACAGATTGACTTGGTACTTATATCTGTAGAAAAACAATTGTTACTAACAGGGTAGTAAAAGAAAGAACTTAAATATAAATTGTTGATTCATAAATCATTTTCTAAAAATGTTCATGCCGTTTTAGTTATATTTTACAAAAATGGCGAATGCGCCGGGATTATTACTCGTAACATATTTTAAAATAATATACCTACATATGTATAGTACATCCTTTTTTACTATTTGATTTACCAATCTATATGGATTTATTTTTCTGATTTAGTGCCTAATTAATCTGCAAACAATTTTATTGAACCCTAACCAAAAAAAACTTACTTTTCGATACACGTACAGGTAATTGTGTTGACGCTAGAAATTGTCGACTCGCCCTCCAGTGTATTGACCGAAACAATTTGCAAATCCACAAAACGCCCAATCACGTCCACGTCTGGTACGTTTTTTATAGGGAGAAAGTTTTTTATGCTTAAAAGAAGGTTTTTTATTATTTACGAAAACATATTTTTTATTTATTGTAGTAAATGAAGTCTTTCCAATTTATTTATTTAAATTTTGTTTTCTTGTTTTTATGTTTTTTAATGCAGATTTTCTATTAATATTATACATTATTCTATTAAGCCCTTCTTAATTATTTATTCGTGATATTAAGTTTTGTATTTAATTGATTTGACTAATAACTTGCATTATTCGTTTTTTAATACTTATTATAAGTACATATTTTTCAAGGCATAAGTAAATGGGGTTATTTTTAAATTTACATTAAGTTAAATTAAATTAAATTAAAAATAAAAACAAAAAATAAAACATTTTTATGATTGTAATTAACTTTTTTTGTTCTATCAAAAGCTGTTTTCTTTCTACGTATACAGGGTGAGTCATGTAACTTGAAACTGAAATATCTCAGTTATGTTGCATTTTATGAAAAAAAAATTAAAATAAAATTAAATGATTCGAGGGGGAAAATCAATCAGTACTAAAATTGGTCTTTATACTCTACTCCTTATAGGGGGAACAGGGGGTAACTTTAAAATTTCCAATGGAACCCTATTTTTAATTGCAGATTCGGATCATTCGACTAAAAATAGGTAGATTTTGTCTAAAACATTTTTTCATATTATGCTGTAATGAAAAAAAATCAATTTTGCTCGATTTTTCTTCTTATACGATTCTGCAATGATTTTTCTATAGAAATATCACTTTTTTGGTAATAATTATCAATTGCGCACCATGTTTACTTTTTACCTGCCAGCATTAAATCCTTTAATTTAAAGGATTATTGTAATATTTTTAATAAAAATACCTACCTCATTTAAGGTAAAAAAACAATATTTTGTCAATTAATTTAATCCTAATTGAGGTATAAAAAACTAGTTATACATAGTTTAGCATTATGTAATCAATTTAGTTCGAACATTAATTTGAAAACAAAAAGACCTACAGTTATTCATAATGGATTTTTTAACAGTGGAAGAAAAAATAGAAATGATTTTGAATTATGGAGAAACAGGCAGGAATCTTGATGCTGTTAATATCTACGCTCAGCGTTTTCTAGAAAGAAATCGATCACGTACTTTATTTCACCGTACAGTCAAGCAGTTTATTACAAAAGGGAGTGTTCAACCGAAAAAAGTTCGACGAGCAAATATTTAATATTGTTATTTTGAGCACCTACTTTAATTAAAATTTAAAAAATAAATAAATAAATTTAAATAATAAAAAGTTTTTACTAAAAAATTATTTGAGTATTATCTTATACAGAAGAAAAATCGAACAAAATTGGTTTTTTTCATTACAGCGCCATCTATTACAAATATGAAAACATTTTTTAGATAAAATCTACCTATTTTTAGTCGAATGATCCAAATCTGCAATAAAAATAGGGTGTTCATTCAAAAATTTTAAAGTTTCCCCCTGTTCCCCCTATAAGGAGGAGAGTATGAGGACCAATTTTAGTACAGATTGATTTCCCCCCTCGAATCATTTAATTTTGTTTTAAACATTTTTTCGTAAAATGCATTCTAACTGAGATATTTCAAACTTAAATGACTCACCCTGTATAATATTCGGCATAATAACAGGTAGGTATAAATGCATACGAGAAAAATAAATCATTTATTTCATATTGTCATGTCATAATTTAATACATCTCCTATATAACCAGGGTATTTAATTAATGCATATATTATAACGTGACATTGAAAAATTGATATTTTTTTCTCTTATGCACTTAGGCATACCTGTAGAAAAGCCATATAAATTTTTAAATTTCATCGTACAGTTTCGCAATATTAAAGGATAATGTTAACTGTATTCAACAAAAATTAATTAATCTGTTATTCTCGTCTAGAAGATCCGGCAACACTGGATTACGAACACGTGATTATCAAGGAATTTTTGGTTTAATTTATTTGGTGGCTACCTTAATTTCGTTTTTAAAGTAAAATATTAGTTACACTGTAGGTATTTAAATATCACAGCTAAACGCTTGGACACGTAAACATAATTTTTGGTCGTAGATTCCAAATCCGTGCTCGGTTTAGCTGTATCAGGTCTAAAAAAGTTGTTTCTATTGGCAATCCGATCCGGGGACACAATGTATACTGGTATATTATAATTTTTAAAATAATATATTTCACCTCTTGCTTGCTTGCTTTTTATTTTGTTTTATATAATATCCTTAATTATGCTCAATAAAAAAAATTCAGCGAAACACATTTTGAATTTACTAAATTATCTAAAAAATACCCTCAGGGACACATGTTCCTTTTGATCAATTAACTTAAAATTTTAAAAGAATTTGTTTTTTTTTAATTTGGAACTGATGTGTGGGTCCAGCCAAATTGATTTTTTTTTTAAATCTTATACAGGGTGTTTAAATTTATACAGGGTGTTTCCAATATCTTTGAATTTTGACCTGATATAGCCAAAACAAGCACAGATTTGTAATCTACGACCAAAAATTAAGTTTACGTGTCCGAGCGTTTAGCTGTGATATTTTCACCTTCCTACAGTGTGCTATTTTTATAATTATTAATAATATGATTTTTTTCTGTTTGTTTTCTGCTCTTCTCTTTAGTCTTTGTTGCATTCAACATACGCATGTTTTCTGATGCTTTATTTTTTGTTCCCATAACTTTTTGTAATAATTTTTTTTTTGTAGTTGACTTCATTCGTTTTCACAAGTTATTTTTAGATTTTTAATAACAGTGCATATAGAAGTGTCACTGACATGACAATAAAAATTGCTCAAAAATTTTCTCTTTTTTTTTCAGTGTCCCCAAAGGTGAAATGCACGGCCGAGCAGATGCGCGTCGAGGTGCCGGTGGCGGCGAATACGCGCGCCGTCTACATCGAGGGCCTCAGGGACTACCCGGACCCGGCTTGCAGGCCGCACACCGACCCCACCGGCACCTTGGCGGTCCTGGAGTTGGACCTGAGGGACGTCTACAGGTGCGCCGTCACCAGGATGGTTAACAAGCAAACGGTAAGTGACACAAAAATATCCTGTAAAGAAACGAGAATCTAAAAATAATTTTGAAAAAAAAATGCGTATACGTATACCAAACACCGTTTTTAACGAAAAAAACTTTGAAACATTTTTTAAATAAATACTTACCAACTAAGTATTTAAAAAAAAGTAAAATGAAAATCTTCCATGTAGATCTTGGGAAATAGCGATCAATTCTTCGTAATTTATGTGTAGTATCGTATATTGATAATATTTTAACTGTCTCATTGTAAAATTACTTTGTCAATAAATCAACCAAAAAGTTAAATCATAGTTTAATAAATAAACTTTAAAGTATTTAATTAAATTGTCTTTTTATTATTTTATAAAAATTACCTTAATTTTTATATTTGTTTGTTTTTTGAAGTGTTTTGCCAAAAAAATTGTCCCACTTTGTTAGTTTGTAACTTTGGAAAGGATGGATGGATTTTGCAAATTTTTCTTTTGTAAGCTGATCAGAAAGGGGGTTTCTTTGGCAGCAACTGTGCATAATTTCATTAATTCGTTATCATTGATATTGATTGTACAGGTTGATTTGTAAAGCTATGATTTTTATATCAAATTTATTTATGTACAGGAGGTATATGGGTCACCCTGTATTTCATTTAACTCACGCAATATATGTATAAGTATGGGGATGCCAAAGAGTAACAAAGAGAGACAAATGAAGTAAGACCTATTACCCTAGGGTTTTAAAGTGTCGAAAAAAACAAAAATATTGGTAAAAACTGTTTTTCCAAGGCCTTTTTGGCTTCTTTGAAAAAATTAAATTTTACTACAAAAACTACAAAATAATAAATGATTTATAAAGTTAAATTACAAAATTATAATTTTATAAATGGAAGTGTCAAATAAAGTTATGTTAATCCAGCACCGAATATGTTTTTTTGCGGCCCGGTAAAATATTCTTACTAAATTAAAATAAGAGGAATAATCATTATAATCAAAATATTATGATTAAAATCAGCGTCGGAAATTCACTTTTTTCGATATAAGTATACGGGTATTACCTGTAAAAAATTGAAAATTTTAAGAAAAATTGACTTTTGCATTTTTTTGTAATTTTCTTTGACTATTTCCCTCGCCTTAATTTCCACCAATCACAAACGCGCAATTTTAAATTACAAATGGTTTCTAGGTGAAAAAACAGTGTGACAGCCCCTGTCTGCAGTTTTTTCGAGTTTACCCGCGGCAAAACTTTACAGCTGTTGTCACAAAAAATTGCAATTTATATTTTAATTGTTAACTGTTACTCATGAAATAGTCTTGTCAAATACCATTCGGGCATCTAATTTTTCCTGTGAAAAAAATCGAAAAAACACAATGCTAAATAATATTTTTTAACAAAATGCATTCGTGCAGTTGCAAAAATCCTCCTCTTCGACTCGGATTTTTGTTGCCTCCAGCACTCATGCTTCTTGTTAAAATATTACTTAGCAAAGTGTTTTTTCGATTTTTTTCGGAAAAATTAGATGCCCTTATGATATTACTTTAAATTTTCAAAAATGAAAAAGCAAATTTCCCGATTTTTCCGTTTTTTTTCGGAACAAACGGTTTTTTTCTGCCGGCCCAATTTTTTCCGGAAATATTAAAACCCTACAGATAAGACATTAATAAAATTTACAGGGTGATTCATTTAACTCGTGTTTTTTATACAGAAGACATGTATTAACAAATCGCCCTGTAAAATTAACATTAATAATGCGAAATTAAAGCAATTATGGTTACTTGGAACGAGACTTTTGACAAAAGAAAATTTAAAAAGATACATCAACTTTTAAGGTAAGCCACTTTTAAAAAACAATCAGTGTTTTTTTTAAATTTAAGTGGTTTTCTGCAAATGGTTGAATTTAATATTCAAAATATTGTGCTTTACATTATTAATCATTAATTACGCATTACGTTTTTGCTTTAATATCCTAACCACCAGCCCGTGTAACTAAATATTTATGGCAGTCAGTCTACATAAACAATATCACGCTACCAGCACCGCAAAAACGGCCCCTCGAGGATCTCGTCCTTGTAAGGATGGACGCAGACCAAATTTAATTTATCCCACTTTAATAGCATTTTGAGCTGTTAGAGAAAGGTCCGCGTGACAAGGATACAGTCCCGCATAATAACAAACCTCTCGGGTATGTTTACCACTTCATGATTTATCCTTGCCAAGGACCAACCCCGGGCTAAGAAACAACCCGACTCCTCGGCTGCTTCTCATCAAAGCGACATGTGTAATTTTAGCTAATATAGCAATTTTAGCGGGCTGGATGTCAAGACAATAAAAAAAATGAAATTTTGAACTGAATTCAAAAAAATTAAATAATTTTTCTTCCACTTCATTTTAGCGAGTTACCTATTTTTTTTTAATTGGGGCTCCCCATTGAAAAATTAAGGGTTAAAGAAAATGAGTGAATTAGCAGAGTGAATGTTAATATAAGCCAGGATACACGCAGTGGACTGGAATGGCAAAAAGTTGCCAAAATCCATTAAAAAAACTAATAAAGATATCATTATGAAATTTTAACACCATATTTTTGGGGTATAAATCTTGATCCTTTAAAAATTCAATTAATTCAGTGGCGACGATTTTATAAGGGTTTGAAATGTTGTTAACAAGTTAAAAATTTAGTTATTTTAAAAACTAGGTATTAAAAATATCATTTTAAAATTTTAAGACTATTTAATATATTCACGGTGTGCCTGAACGAAGTTTAAGTCACATAAAAATGCCGCCAAAAACTGATTGCAGTTTCTTGTTCAGGACCCTTTGGTGACTTAAAAATGATATTTACCAAAATCCTGGCTGCTCCTCTTTTCGAATTTTTTTGAAAATTCATGTTTTTTTTTAATTTTTGTTTATCTTAAAGTCTACCTTTGACAGAGTACACATTTGTTCATTTTTATAATATTGGAGTATATTGTTAAGGAGATTTGGAGAATACTTTTTTATAATCTGCACATCATTTAATACATACAGGGTTAGCCAAAGGGTCCCGAACAAGAAACTTCAATCAATAAAAATCGGTGTACAAATGTGTACTCTGACAATAAACAAATAATTAATAAAAAAATGTTTTTTTAACAAATTTAAAAAAAGCAGTTAGAATTTTGGTAAATATCGTTTTTAAATCTCCAAAGAGTGCCGATCAAAAAACTTTCTATATTTAACTATAAAATTTTAAATAGGTAGCTTTAAGTTCAAAATTGAAAAAAATTTAATTTAAAAAAAAATATACTGAAAAACCTTATTAGCTTTAAAATTACTGCAGTAATGTAAACTTGAATAATTTTAAATAAAGCACATTTACTGAGCTGAGTTCGTGCAACACTACATAAAAACCTTATTAGTTTCCGCGGTCGGATTCAAATTTCATATGGTCTTGTTTACAAGATTTTGGCCCAAACAACGTATATAATTAGAGCTGCTAGATTTCCCTACTTAAAGTTAGCACTTTACATAATTTTTAATAAATAATTTATTTTTTTATATTCTATTTTTAACTATAAAATTTTAAATAGACAAACGTCCAAGCTTTAATTAAAAAAATATATTAAAAAATCTCTATTAGTTTTAAAATTATAGCCATTTAAACTTGAATAATATTAAAGAAAAATTGACAATTTTGCTTAATTGTTAACTTGATTCACTTTAATGTTCTAAAACTTTTTTATTGGTGAAATTTTTTAAATTTTATAAATTAAACATGAAATCTTAATGTTTTTTCTATAAGAACATCAATTTAGATTTTCTCAATTGTACAGGGTGATCCCCTATAATGTCGCTCACCTTTAACTTTTTTATTTTAAGTGTCCCAAAAAATTTAAAAGTGTAAAAGTTTATTTTTTTCAATGCATCACCCTATATAGGTATTTATTTTTCGATTCCTTGTAAAATTCTAAGCATATTTCATATAACATACCATATACCTAAATTCAACCGTTTCTAAAATATTTAAATTATTTTTAAGATAATAAGTTAAAATAGTTTGTCTTTCTTTGTCTGAGTACGCCATTTTTACTTATTTAACAAGACATATTGACATAATGTCACTATAGTATTTATTTTCAATACAAATTTTGGTATACTGAGGCTTCTTGATTTCTAACAGTTTAAAAAAACATTTCGAATGCGAATATTTCACAAACGGTTGAGTTTAGGTATATGGTTTGTTATATAAATTATGGTTAAAATTTTACAAGGAATCGAAAAATAAATACATATATAGGGTGATCCATTGAAAAAAAATAAACTTTTTGTTTTTCCCTGTATATTGATCAATTTTCCAATTTTCTTCATACGTAGAAGAAAAGTATGTTTTTGTACCTACATAACCACACTGAAATTTTTTGGGACACTTAAAATAAAAAAGTTAAAGGGGGGCGACATTATAGGGGATCACCCTGTACAAAACATAAATTGTGTTTTTGGCCGTTCTTGGACGATTCTAGCGCCATTTTAAAATATTTATTGCTATAAAATTTTCCTTAATAGTTTTTTCCATAAACCTATTCTTTTTAGTAAACAAAAATCAAGGCATAAATTAATCTGTCTACGTTTCCAAAAATAAGTGTGCTCTCTTAATTCGCAGGGAAAGCAAATATTCTACCAGACTCTCGTGATAGAGAACGTGGAGCCCTCGGCGGACGGAAGTCAGCTACAGCAAAAGGAAACGCGCGAGACGCTGCATGTAAAGTGTTCCATATACTCCATGAGAAATCACACAATAACCAGGAGGAACGTGCTGCCTGCCGGATTTCAGGAACCAGAGTGAGTAAATCTCTTTTATGGGGCTTTTAGGAAGCGAAATGAAACTTTACACTAATTTATTATGGCCCTTAAATGTATAATATTGTTAATTGGTGTGCGTGCGCGTACGGGAAGTGAGTATTAATCTGTTTTAGTTTTCACCATATATAAATCATTCGCTGACTGCGCCATGTTCTCCTGAATTTACGTTTGAACGTATAATACCGCGTTACGATGCAAAGTTAGTAATGGCCGTATGCACAAACTAAATTAAATTAACTGATTACAGGTTTTTTGCAGTTAAAGAACTACCTTTTTAACAAACCCAGCTTATCTTACAAATGTACATTATTCCAACAAAAAAATTATTAGTTAATCATGAAGTAATCATTTCAAACGTAAATTAGTTAAAACCAAGTCAATTAGACAGCAAAAAAAAAAGAAAAAATGTACCTAATTATATTTGTCGAACCCTTTTTTATGCTTTTTGTTATCATAAACTTAAGGCCGGTTTATCAATGTAATATTAAATGTGCTAGTTTGTAAACCGTATCCAAATTTAAAAAAAAGTATTTATTTGTCAAACTTTAACTGTCAGTTTATAAACCAAAAGAGAAGTTATTTATTGTTTATTGTGTTACTGCTGGAATACAAATAGTGTCGTTCAAATTTACTTTCGTTATTGAATTTGATAGCAAAAATTATATGAAAATAAAAATAATAAAAAAAAGATGAAAAGGAAAAGAAAAAGGCATCTTAATATAAGTAGGGGAAAACGTAAAAGAAGCATCTTTAGTAGCTTCACCACGTTTCCCAATAAACAGTGGAAATCCAAATAAAGAAATAAATTGCATGCAGTCCCTGTAAATATAAATTGTACCTATTGGATACAATAAATACACATTTAATTAATGATTTACGTGAAAATTGTAAACATTTTAATTCAGAAAAAATCATAAAAAAATAAGTCTTCCAAATTCAAACATGCATTATTAAAAGCGTGGATTAAACATTAAAATACCAAAAACGGGTATTATATATAATAGTAAGTTGCCATGAATTCGTAGATATATTTTGTCGTTTCCTATTTTAAAATGTAGGTGTCGTTGTTTTAGAGGACTCAAATATAAAAAAGTTTAATTTTAAGGTTATATTTGAACAACATTTGTTTGTAAGATTTCTTAATAATGTCTAATATAAATTATATTAGGTAAAGTTATCATTCTGCACCAATATACGTACCGAAAATGCAACGATTTAATTCTTGAATTACATTTACAATTAAAAACACAAAAATTCACCATGTTCACTTATCTTTAGTTAGTAACGTAACCATATAGGCATATAAGCGTTGAGTTTTTTAATTAATGATATAAGGAATAATAAATCAAAATCGAGTACTTAACCAAAGGTTTGCAGGTTTTACAAATTACGTGCGCAATTTAGTTGTGTACAGCCCTGAATTAAGGGGGGCATTGGAGTCTTTAGGGTTTTTAAAAGTCAGATTAATAATACACATTACCTATACAGGCATTTTTTCTAAGTCTAGATAAAATAAAATATACAAATTAAATATTTTTTATCAAAAAACATCCTTAAATATAATTTGTGTTTAGTAGGCCGACAGTAATTATCAAAAGACAATCCATTGATGGCTATCCATTAAGTAAGAATGACAAAAGAAAGGTTTTATTTTTTAATTATCCTTATTAGTTTTATTTGCATAGTGCGTGCATGAGGTAAGCAAATAAAGAAGTTTGGGACCTATATTATAGGTATTATATAGTGAAGAACTAACAAACCATATATCGATGACTTTCTGCCAAAGTATCGCAAGCAACAAAACTCAAATTTCGGTAATTGAAAACATTTTTTGTTTTAAAGTCTGTTTTAAACCATATATAACCTATAGGTTTTATAACAAGTAAATAGCTATAAGTATAAGCTATTTACTTGTTATAAAACCTTTAGGCTATATTTAATTTAAAACAGACTTTAAAACAAAAAATGTTTTCAATTCCCGAAATTTGAGTTATGTTGCTTGCGATACTTTGGCAGAAAGTCATCGATATGGTTGTATATTATTAAAGTTAAGCTATAAAAATGCATGTATTAAATAATATAATTAACAATGTTGATATTTATTTTTACTTCATGAAAAATACTTACTTATGTAGGTACTAAATTGGTAGTACCAATTTTTGGAAAAGATAAAATAAATAAAATTACATTAAAATTTGGTATAATTTATTTTAATTTATTGTTTTTGATAAATTGTTATAACCAATATTTTTCATTTATACTCAAGATTTCAAAATTTAAAACAATTGGTTTAGAAATTTTGATGTTGAGCGCTGTAGGTATTGTTCGCTTTTTGATAAATGGTAAACTTACTATACACTAATTTTTGGCAATTTTTCTTTTCCAATTATTAAATAAATTTAAAAACAAAGATACATTATTATTTTTAATACTAAACATTACATTTTTATTTTTATAAAGAACCTCCTACATTGTTTAGCCCCAGGCCCCATTTTGCCTTAATCCGGCCCTGGTTATGACTTCCTTCCTTTTGTGAAAAACTACTTATTTATTTAAAAATGCGCCACCAGATGGCGCGCGATTTACTTAAACCCGATGCTTCTTTAGCGTATAGCAAATGAAACCTTTTTAATAATTTTGCTGAGAGATTTAACGTTGTATAATAAACCTACCAAGGCTTTGTTGCATTTCGCAATAATAATGCATTTAAGTACATAATCCATTTGAAACTTTACGATGATGTACCTACAATAAATGGCTTCCTCAAAGATCCACTTTAGGAAATTATAGACTAATAATGTATTTATTAAATTTCCTTTTGATAATATTCAAAGCAAAATACGCTCTATGCTACTGCACCCGCGAATATTTATCAATCAAGCGTCTAGAATTATCTATTATTCGATAAAGGAACAGTCACGATTTCCACATATCGTGAATATCAATTCAATGAATAGGAATTGACTTAATTAAGGTAAAATTCGTGGTTAAAGTTTATCAGGTATAAGAGTTAAATAACAGTATATAATAATATACACATGGTGCTTTAAAAATGCGTGTTATTAGTCCTTGGCCAAAAATAAATCAACTCACTTATAGGTCTCAAAAGTTAATTAGTTTGACCGCCAAAGGGATTTCTTTAAATTGCCTTTTCTGTGAAGTTTTATTTGTAATTTACGTATTTTTGTGGTTTTAAAAAGTTTAGTGTATGAAAAATGTCTTTTTATCCAATTTTTTTTTAGAAAGTATGGTATTAAGTAAGTGTTTATATAAATTAAACTGTATAACAATCTATATAACATTTTGTTACTTTAAAACCGATTCTTTTGTCTGTTAAAATGTTATATAATGTTTAAAGGCCTTAAAAATTTTAACATTTTTTGAAAGTAGGTTCAAGATCAACTGTAAATTTTTTTATCTACGCCAGTGAGATAAGCGTTTTTCTCTGCTTTTAACCAATCAAATAAAAAAGTAAAAATGTCAAAATGTCAAAATAACCCTAAATTAAGTCTTAGACAAAAATAATTACCGTTTATTTTTTCATTTAGAGGCGTAGATAAAAATTTGTACAATATACGTGTGATAACGCTTTATTAACGTGCTACGCACTCGTTGGGCAAATTTCGCATGCGTACGTTAATAAAGCTCTTATCCCACTTATATCGTAAATAACTATTAAATTATTTTTAAAATATTATAGCTTAGCCTTCATATATATAACTGAGTTTCTGCATTTTTCTCTGCTTACCTTATGTTTTCAAGAAAAAAATTATTTTCGTTTTAAATTCAAATCAGGCTTGGCTGGAAGCTATTAACAGTTTTAGCGAAAATACAGTTTTTGAACTATACCCTATACCCTAATTTTTATTGAATGCCATATTCCTTAAATATATGATCAAACAAGGCCTATGGATTTTTCAGATAGCCATAATTTTTTTCTATAAACTCGAAATTGCTTAAATTTTTTAGAGAATATTTTACTTCAGTATATCCTTAAAAAAACCTAAAATTGATTTTGGAATAGAAGTGGTTTAAGAGCTGTAAATTTTTAAATTTGTAAAATGTTCTATAGAATGTTTTATAGATATATATATCTTCATATATTTTGTGGTTTTATCATATCGATGACTTTCTGCCAAAGTATCGCACGCAACATAACTTAAATTTCGGGAATTAAAAACATTGTTTGTTTTAAGGTCTGTTTTAAACCATATATAACCTATAGGTTTTATAACAAATAAATAGCTTATAATTATAGCTAAATACTTGTTATAAAACCTATAGGTTATATATGGTTTAAAACAGATTTTAAAACAAAAAATGTTTTCAATTCCAGAAATTTAAGTTATGTTGCTTGCAATGCTTTGGCAAAAAGTCATCGATATATAGAAGGGATCTGTCACCTGTTATCTTTTAACTTAATACCTGTCAATGTTGATAAATGTAGTATTGAATTTTTCAATATCATAAGGTAATAAAAGTAGATTTTTTGTATCACCCTAAAATCCACACCTACTCTATGTTTTTGTTGTTGTTTTTGTATGTCATACTTTTAGTATTTTCTAGTTATTTTAAGATTTGCACATTGGTACTTTTAAATCGATACATACGTAGAAGACACATTTACAACGTATTTGTATTTTTTTCAGTTAGTTTTTATACAATATTGGATTACATTTAGCATATGTGTGCTGCTTTTGGCCCTTAACTGGAAGTAGTAATTATAGTTACTACTTTCCAGTCAAGGACCAAAAACAGCACACGTATGCTAAATATATGAGTTTGGGAATCATTACTAAATCCCAAATTTACTGGATATTTAAGTAGTCATTTCCAAAACAATTCTCTTCATAAACATTTAATCATTATTTAAGAAATTATGTATTTACATTTACAAAAAACATTTCATTACCTTTTAGGCATAACATTAAATTTTATACTTTGACTCAAACATTGCTTCCTTAAAAGAACGGTTATAA